TACGACAGTGTTGCATGTGAGATTATTGTGACCACTGATAGCAGTTCTGCCTTCTACAATCCCTAAAAGAAATGGGCCTACCACGTAGCTCACGGCAAAACGAATGGACCAAAAACTGTGATTTTTGCTCAACTGTTAGAGGCAACGAGCAGTTAAAATGAAAGAGATTCGATTCTTGCTCCTGTAAGTATGGATCTGAGCTGCTGTGCGATTTGCCACTGGTCCCAAAGTAAGCCTAAGAAATAAAGAATCGCAAACCATTGCATAGCGTTTATTTATTGACAGATTATTTCGAAGAGGCATCTACATCTTCAACATGACGCGTAAAATATCTGGTACCAATAAAATGAGCGCAAGAACGTTAGCTAAGCAGCCCAAGAATCACAGAGTTTGATTATGGGACTTGCCTTTTATCCAGCCTCAGTGTTCCAACAACCAAAAGAAAACAACGATTGGCTGCAACAGCGAAATATGTTCATCGAGAGCTTCTCTGCCGATGTTAAATGTGCGCTTAAAGAAGAGATCGTGCATTATGGCTCACTGGCAACATTTGCTTTAGATCGCGTTCACCATAGAGCGTCTATTTTAGGAATTAATATTCGAGAACGCTTTATCACTGATTTCTTTACAACATTCGTTTACACTAAATACATTTGTTTGATATTAGCACGGTGGCAGAGACGCATCATGTCATTAGATCTTGCAGTAATACCGCACCAGGCAGTTCTAGACGCTTAAGAGAGGCAGAGTTGAAATTTAGGCGAATCGAGGCTCTACTGCATGTCAGTATAAGCGTGTTGATGCAATACAGCATCATTGAGTTGTGTACTAGCCACGCGCGTCCGCACATAAATCTGAGATAGCTAATTTGCGTAGACAGCGTTAATGTCGCATTATTAGAGCATAAATCTACCTTGATTAGATTTCATCGCATATTACACGCTCCATTGCTTTTAGTTGCCTAGGGACCATTTAATCAAGGCGCGGCAACATGGTATTCCAGCAGCGCATCACTTTGTTTGCCAGAGCAATCTCGATACGAAAGATATCTCAGGAGGTGGCATAGCGCAAGCTATCGCGCTACTGCTCGAAGAATATGTTATCTTTATGGCTTGAAGATTGAATATTATCCTTTCAGGCGAGAAAATCGCCATGACCTTTATTTTTCCTTCGGAATTGTCCTGCATATGCATTTTTTATATAAATTTCTTATGTTTTGAGCAAAACTGAGCTCGTTGCCAAGGTACAATATTACAGCGAGGTGTCAAACGGCAAGATCCTTTACCACTCCTGTATACAATCTGTCGGGCAGCTAGAATTTAACTTAGTTACTCCTGACTTCAAATTTCGATCACGAGCAGAAACAGGATGCAGATATGTGTTCGCGATTTTACGAGAAATTAGCTAAAGATAAAACAAAATGTACCATAGAAACAACTGAAGAAGGCAAAAACAAATGGTTTTTTCGCTGACATAGGATGGCATGACAAAGCGCGTTGAAACAAATTGGCAAATTTTGTTTAGTCTATTCATTTTCATCTGTGTTCGTTCTACGGCAACGTCCTGCGAAGTCCGCACCTTCTATCAAGGCGATATTATCCATACGGTTCCACAGGCATTCGCTTACATAACATGAGTTTTGAATGCGTCATTTTGTTACACCTGCATGATTTTGTTACCATTGCTCAGATGAGTCCTACAATTATCAAACGAGATCTTTGACATTTTCTTAATGGTCAGAATCACGGATAGATTATTCAAGATTCTTGAGCGTTAGAATTGTCGTGAACGATTCATGGAAAGGCAGAAAGGTAACACACTATAACAAATCTGATACCATGCACTGTTCTAAAGATAAGTCTCAACTTTCATGAGGTTATGTATGATATTTCCGTTTATCCTTACAAACTGTAGATAGGGAAGGCTGGGTAAACGTTTCAGCCATTAACATGAGATAGCTTAGAACGCATCCGGCTAGCAGAATAAAGGGACTTCATTGCTCATGAAATGACTATGATGACTACGGACTACTGATGCATAGCGAATAAGTACGCAGAGCAACATGTAAGCCTATCGGTCCAACAAGAAAATAATCAGAAAAATAAAACTGCATACTTCACTCAATATTCTCATCACCGAAGCGAATAGGTTAACTTTCTGTGATCAAATGGGAAGACATAGCGGTCATGTTTGATTGTGGCGATTAATTAAAAGGAATTGATAAAACACTGGGCCGTAAATGACAAATAGTCGAATCGTTTGGCGAAATTGTATGCCATACAATATAATCAGTATAAAGATTTAAAGTGCACGTCGAAATAATTTGGATTGTTAACTTTAAATGAACTTTTATAAATTATCGCAGAACAGAAGAGAAACTGAAGGGGAAGAAAACGACAAAGAACAGTTAAGAAATAATTCAGAAATTCAACATGCCGGCACTGACGATTGCGCCAATAATGAGTTATTTTAAACAAAAACACAATGTAAATAATTACATACGTATATTTAAGCGTGTATTTTGTACAAAATATTTACCTCGATATAAGGTAGGCAAGGCTATTTTTTGCAGATTAGAGGAACAACGAAATAAATTGAGTTGCCATTATATTATACCATTGCGGAAAAATTGAATTAAACTAAATTTGATGCAAAACAATAGCGGGTTTTGAGTACAGAGTAGGTTTGCGCCAAAAACTTAATGTGAAGAATGAACTACGCTATTCTGCTAAAATTTTTATACTGAAGTCTGCGTGTCCATATTTTGCAAATTTAACCTGTAAATCAGCATCTTAGAGTATTGGAAGCAGGGTTTCCACGGCAAATTGCTTTCCAACTTTCATCTGTTTCTGAGTTAGACCGTCTGTTTTAATTTTCCGGTTGAAAACATTTTGCCCAGCGCGGTGGCATGTGCAGACCTGACTAAATTTATTGATTCTGAAAGGTCAGCGTCAAGTTGATTGAAACTGACCGTTGTCCCGGTGTCACATAGTCAGCAGCTGAGGTGTTGGATCCGAACTACCGTGTCCTCTAAATTCCGTTTAATGTCATCGAGCTTTCAAGAAATCTACTATGAAGTAAGTGGTCGACGTTTTCTTATGTTTTCGAGACGCTCGGTTTGTCGCTTTGCTCGTCAACAACTAAGGGTGGCAAGTTCGGTATTATAAAAAATTCAGATGCTGTTGAGAATCTTTGCTAATCTGAGAAGGTACGGACCATTGCTTACGTGCAGGTAGTTGTTAAGGTGCTGTTAGCAGTGCAGATATCGATGCATTCGTTCTTCTCGCATGTTAAGCAGTCGTCGTAAGATCGACGTCTGCTTCGCTTTTATCCCCTTCATCCAATGGTTGAGCACTGCCTCTTATTTACTCAATGTTGCGCTCGTGTTTGACACGTGAATCACGGGCTTCTGGCGTTAAAATCGGCTTCGATACTCACCATCGCCTGTGGCTGTGTGTCACAAGGACCTCTTATTCGTCATTTTTGAAACTCATTAATCGTTCAACTTTCGTGTTTGTGCCTACCACCTTTGCGCTGCTTTTCATCGTTATGTTGTTTACACGCTTGTCATGGGGAGAAGAAAGAAAATTTTTCATCGCTAGAACGTTGGCCTTCCTTCAAGTGCATGATTGGTCCATATCTCATGCCCCTACTTTTCATGAAGCTCATGGTAGGTCTCTGCTCTGTCTCTGCTTCAATGCCGTCAGTCACGAGTGCCGTATTTTGTTTTTTTAAGACAGTGTTTACAGCCATGTAGCAATCGCTGCGTGTAGTCTCCGGCTTCTGTCGCCCAGTGGCATCTCCGGCTTCCTTTC